TGACTGGATGATGTCTCTGCACCTCCAGCCTCTTCATGCTCGGCTGGCTTATAAAGGACCTCTCTGCCACTATGTGACCTCAACTCTCAGCATTCCTAAACTTTCACCTCCACGCCAAAAGAATGCAGGGCTGCCTCTGCCACATATCCTTTGATGTGTGGTTGCACCATGACAAGGAAATTTTACAACATAAAGCTGTTCAAACTTAGATGCAGCCCTGAGCCCAAGCCCTGCATCTCCTTGATCCTCTTAATGCCTTTAATCACATTGCATGGGCTAGACTAGAGGATTCTTTAAGATCCCACACAGACTTATATTCTTTGATCCTTCTAATTTCTTATTATATCAGAAACTTCCCACTCCAGTACAGAATTCCAGCCCTTTTGGCAGCTTTTTCCAAGTTCCATTAGAGCTTCACAATCCTAAATAAATTGTAGCTGGTTTGGTGCAGTCAATGGACTAAAAAGTTCCATAATGTAATTTACTCTTCTTTGCAGTAGTGCAATTCCCCTTCTAGAGCCCTTTCTAAGAGGCAGATATTCTTACCTGTGCCAGAACTGCCTCGTCTGATTACAGCATAGACAAGGCAGATGCATCCAACACTGGAAGTCCATTAAACCCAAAGGAGAGTGGATACAATGTCAGTCCTCCAAAACCCAGAACGGGAGTGCAAGAGGGTGTTGAATGTTTCACATCCTCTGCCTGTTTCTTCTGAGATGTATTGAGAGATACATGATCAATTCAAGTTTTGTTTAAGATCAGAAGAAACACAAAAATCCTCTTTGAATACCTTGAAAACACCTCCTCGCTATAACCTACTGTGAGCCAGTTCCAAAAGTAAATATTTCAGCACATGGGTCAAGAGTAATCAGAAAAAAGGTGCCAATGCTCAGTTATACAAACCTGTGGCACCTGAGGAAAGTGTCTGCCCACTTCTTAGATGTCTTCCACTGCAAATCAGTAGCTTCAAATCTGTCCAGAAAAAAGGAAAACCAGACAAAAGCTCAAGAGTGATGGGGCAGTCAGTCACCTACAGAAGACAAAAATCCTGTCACTAGGAGCAAGCTTCCCTGCTGCAGAACTGGGAGCTACATAGCAAAAATCCCCTGCTGTTATGGCAGCACATGGAGGCCCTTGAGCCTATTAGGGGAACTTCTGGGGGGATGCCCTGGAAGAATCTGCCAGAGGCTTCTAGAAAGCCTGACTGCTTAGCATGAGACAAAAGGCTTCCCCCCCTTGGTGCTCTGCAACACCAGGTTACTCTGCCTCAGTTTCTATAGGTCACTGTCCTTCGCCTTGCCCCCATGCTGCCCCTGTGTCCCCAGACCATTGGCTCCTGACCCCATACTGAACCTCAGACACTTCAGGAAATCCCTGTCTTTTGTCACTGGATGCCTTTGGTGGGAGTTTGCAATAAAGCTGGCTGGAACACTGTAAAGGAGACCCTTCCCTTCCTTCTTCACTGACTTACACGTGTGTGCAATTGTGGATACAGCGACTGTCTGTGCCTACCCGAGCAGCTTCTTCAGGAGACTTAGGAGAGGTAGCAGCAACACTATCCATTTCCCACACTGCTACAGCAGTAATTACATAAATCCCTTTGACGCATTTGTGTCAAAACCATTGATCAAGAAACAATATTAATTAGACCTAATCCAGACTTCGGAGGCACCAGAAGGTATCAGCATGGCTTGAGGGGTTTAGGGCAGCAGACTGTATGTTTCAGCGAAGCTTCCTTAATTTTATCCTCATGATTTTGAAGGAGTAAACACAGAGAGGAAAGGAAGATGGAAGAAAACAAAAGTAAAATAACAGATTTTCAAATTTACCTTTTCCAAAGTGAGTTGTGTGGGAGGTTAAATACTACTGGTGCTGTGCCTAGGCAAACTGAGTACCCTGTGAATGTTTGTGCCTTTGAGAATGAACATTGAAATATCATGGAGGCACCAAATAACACAACTACACACACATCTAATTGTTTATCTCAGAGCAGACAAACATCAGTAAATTAATGGGCAAAGGGCTCAGTGAACCCCCTGAGTTACTTACTGCAGAAAAGCAAAGTCTGAGATCCCTGGCACTGCTCCCACCTTGCGACAGCACAACTGGTTGCCCTCTCCCTCCAGTCAAAAAACAGGATCTGCAAGATAGAGTGGGAGGCAGGCACCAACAGGAGGGAGGGACTGACACTTGGAAAGTGCTCCAGGTCTTAGGCTCTGAAGAGTTAAAACAACCAGAGGAATCTTAAACAAAAACAAAACAAAACAAATAAAAAAGGAAAAAAGGGGGGGGAAGGGGAAGAAAATAAAGGAAAGGAAAGCAACAGCCCTTACAACAAAAATACATTCCCAAAATTAATACGATTTTGATAAGCCTCCCTTTAAAAATTGAATATTTAAATTTTAAAATGTACAAAGACTAGAATCTTCATAAATATCTGATTAAAAAACTTCTGATGCTGTTTTAGATTTTCCATTGAAATACAGTGCATGGAGGTTGCCATAGCTACAAGCAAATTTTTAAATAACTGATTTTCATCAGAGCAGCTGCAGTATCCTACAGAAGTGAGGAAGCTGGAAAAAGTCTGACCAAATTCAAGCTCCTAATCAAATGACTCTAAGATTTTCATAAATGCAGTTTAGGAACTATTAATATGGGTTCTGGTTTTTAGAGAAAGTACTGCTCTTTGTTATTTGACAGCATCCCAGGAAATGCTGTCAGCAGTGCTGGAGATCTCAGTCAGGAACAGAGCTTTGTTTTCATGCTGGAAAACATAAAAATTTTCACTGCTAAGCCCCAGCCTGGTACAAGTCCCCAGGCACCAAGGGATGTGCCACAGCCTCAGCTTGTTCTGAAGGGCTTCATGAATGAACTGCTTGGCTGGCAGCAGTGAGCCTAAAAATGCCCCAAAAGACACAAATTTCTGTACCCAGGAAAAGCTCTTCCTTGCCTGAGTTTGTACAGGAAAATACAGAAAGGAAATGTGAAAAACAAGTGAAGCTGTAAAACACTGGCAGGAGGCTTTTGAGGAGAGGCTGTGATTTAGATGGTTTTGCCTCCAATGGTGTTCAGTGCTTGCTGGGTATCAGGAGGTTGCTTCTTCTGTAGGATCTCTCCCTGGCTTGAATAGGCAGAGCAATGCTCTGTCCAATAGTGTGAGCAGAAAATAGATACTTCTGAATTTTGGGCATTTGGGCACCTGTTCAGGGAGGCCTAATTTAAGGACAACACTGAGAGCCCCCGTTCAACTAACTATGGCAGAAGTCCTACAAAACTTCAAATAAAATCATTCTGTACCCTCAGGCAAGTATGGCCCTGTGTCCCAATCCATAAAACAAAAATAAATAAAGGATAGAATTTCTCAGAGGAATACCAAGAGATTTAATTCCACAAAAACAGTAATTGAATTGCTACCTAAGGGAGCTGGAAATGCTTGGCTGGTTTTGGGTGTTTTTTCTAAACAACAAATTAATGATCATTATTAACACTATTATGAATCTGAAAAAAACATCTCAGTGATTACTGGTTTTATGCACATTGCTTCATTTACCTACAACTTGCTTCTAAGAGGTTCCTCCATAGCACAGTGGAAGTGCTCCCCCATCCTAGGGTGGTGATGTTTGAAGGCTTGTGTTGCTCTGCCATCACCTGCACAGCAGAGTTTACAGGCAAGTAACAGGTATTAATCCATACAGACAAATCTTCTGGACAAGGTAATTTTATTTCAAATGTGATTTAAAATTCCCTTCACATCTTGAAATGAAACAGCTTCTTTTCACAATGACTGCTTGTTTGCTCAAAAATTCTTCTGGGGTAAATAAAAGACAAAGAAAAACAAAAAGGAATAATGTCAGAAAAGAACTCTTATTTAAAGTTAGAAAAATGAAAGTTTAAAAAGCTGTCTTGGCAGATTATTCTAACAAATTACATTTTTTGACTAATTCCAAGTACTCAAGGAAGTGTTCAAGGTTAGGTTGGATGGGGCTTGGAGCATCACGGTCTTGTGGAAAGTGGCCCTACCCATGGCAAGTGGCTGGAAATGGATGATTTTTCAGATTCCTTCCAAACCAAACCATTCTGTGATCCTGTGATTCATAGGTACTGAGGCAGTTCAAGTACTATGTTTAGCACAGAATATTATTTTTTTAAAAAAAAGGTGGAAAAGTTCTTAATTTTAGAAATTAGATACTTCATGGCAGGCAGAAACATCTCAGTCACTCAGTGAGATCCTGGCACAAGACTGTTCAGCTGGCTTTGCCCAACATTCCCCTCCATGTTGGCAGCAAGTGATCAGATAGAAAAAAAAGAATGACTACCAGAAAGACAACCTAGTAAATATCTTTTATAATGTAAATTATGAAAAATTCTCTTTGCCAGTGTGAAAATAGGCTAGCACAGCAGAGTGAGGAAGGGATGCCAATGAACAGAGAATTCTGTACTGGCATGCATGTATCCTGTCAAAGGGTCAGACCTCCATGTGTATCTTTAGGCATTAACTTTCCTGATGTAGAGGGGTTTTTTCAAAGAAAGAAACAGAAGATTAAAGAAACACAACCTGCTGTATGGTTGGGCTGCCAGGGAAACAGATTGTGAGTCATTGCAAAGCGACCTTAGTCAGCATATTGTGACTCATACGTAGCTTTTCAGCTCTGCTGTTCCTTCCCCAGGACAGATGAGAGGCTTGTCAAAGCTGCAGAGGAACACTCATGCTCACAGTGAAGTGCTATTGCTCTCAACTGTGCAGACATCAGGATTACTGAATCCAACATAAACTCATCATTTTCCTGGAAGGAATAAGAGATGCTAGCCAAAAAGATTAGCCACAGTCTGCACAGAGCTACCTTGTCCTGGAGTACCGAAGAGCAGGCAGTGCAGAGCCATCTCCAGAAGAGTGTGCAATGCACTGCCACTGTTTGGAGATGCCTGAAATGATCTACTGAGAACACCTCCCTGCAGCCTGCACTGAGCCCCTCCTCAGCAATCACTAGGCAAGGCACACACAGGGTAAGGAGGAAATGCAGAGGAGAGGATAATGGGTGGGAGGCAGCAAAAGGGAGCAGTGGTCAATGCCACAAGGCACTGTCTCCCCTGACCTGCACAGTGAAACACAACAGCATCTACAGACCAGGTACTGCTGCAGCTCCTCTTTTCTGTTTGTTCCCATTTTGCTTCTGAAGCAGTTCATCAGGCCTTCCAGCACAGATTTGCTTTTTTCACCAGATTCAAGCATTATCTTGAAGCAAGGAGAAGAGAATCTTGGTGGATGAGCTAAAAAAAGGAAATAAAATTTTTAAAAAGAGGGCGAGAGATAATACACAACATTCAGGGGAGAAAAGCAAAAAAAAATATTCAAGAAATATGCCCTGAGAGAGGCAGAGAGGGATCAAGGACCAAGAAGCTGGGACAGAACATCAGTCAAGGGAGGGGAAGGTAGCAAACAACACAAGCAGTGTGGTGACACTGGGTCACAGTCCTACAAGAAGTATGTAAGTGCTTATTCTCATATTTTGTGAATAGTTAGCAGAAAACCACAAGTCAAAAGCAAAAAGCATGAAAGAGAATTCAGGGCTTCTGCACTTTAAGTGTTCAGTCTCTCAGTTTGTTCATCGGCAAAATGTAAGCAGCCCTGCTGGTCTGCCAGAGCTGTGCCAGGAGGATTCAGCACATTGATTTGTTCAGAACAAAATAAAGAGCATGAGATGTGTAAGTGAGCACCAGAAGGTGCCATAAATGAGTTTACATTGAGATGAATAGTGAGGAATGGGACCACCAGGGCTAGAAGACAATTCATGGCTCTAAGCAATCAGTCTGAAGGTGTGAGATTTTAGGAGTAACAAGTCAGCCATAGGTCAGAGGTAGTCATGAGTTTTTTCTTCACACAGCAATATCTAACATTTTGGTCCAATAGGCAGCTGACACAAAGCTTGTTTTTGTTTTATAACCTATCACCTTTGCTAAGCTCTGCCATACTGCATCTGTCTTTCATCCAATAGACTTTTAGGTCATGTACATACATACTTCTTATAACTTCTAAATCCTTAGTCTACTCTATAAATCACACCATTACAATTCAAAACTTTTCATTATCTTACCCACTATAGTTTCTTACTTACAACTATAGGGACATAAGTTTATAATTTCTCTACTTAATGTCTGTGTACTTTTATTACTACATTAACCCAAGCTCTTTCCAGGGCTGCAGATTAAACCCTTCAGCATCTGTGGAAGTTTCTATTTTTCCATTTCTCACAAGTTTACAAGAGACATAAAGAGAGAATATTTTTAGGAAAAGCTTTACTTGTGCCAAAAAAATAGCTTTTAATCTATACCAGAACTAAAAAATTCAGGTGAAGTTACCTGAATACTTCTGTACTGAAAAATAAAGTGAAAAATCAGAATTTCACTTTGGATTTAAACATTTGGAGGAACAGATAAATCCTCCAGAAGAGATGCAGTCATCAGAGTTGTGCTGCTTCAACTTCTGGTGGATTCAGTAAAGATTTCAGTCCATCAGTATACCCTGCTGTGTTGTACATCTGACAGAACCCTAGGAAAGGAGCCATGGAGTCATTTTACCTTCAGCACTGTGACCCTGCATTGCTCCTGTGTGCAGGCTGGGGGGCGTGAGATGCAGGCTGGGCCATCCTGAGGCTGCCCCAGTTAGTGTGAAGCAGAATATACAGGTATATTGTGAGGCAGCAAAATGAGACAGACAGAAGGTTACATTGATTTGAAACATCACACTAAAAATACTTTCTATTCTGCTGGAAAAGCACAGCACTGTCAGTAGGACAGCCTGGGACCTGAAAACTTACCTGGCTTAGATATATCAAGGATATCCCAATAGAGGATGCTTTGTCATGAAGGGCAAGCAAGCTTCAAAGGCAACTACAGTAGCCTGGGCTTAAGGAAGAACACTGAATGGTCACTGCAGTGCTGAAAGGCAGGCTTGCATCTGCTTTCAAAATAGCTCTGTACCTATTCATTTTAAACTGTTCTCTCACCAAGCAGCAACTGTAGTGCACAGGAACATCCAGGCAGCTGTGAGATGAAAAAGGTTTCAGAATAATGAACTCTGGGGACAGCTTTTTCCTCTACCATTTTCCACATGAAGGCTATGAATAGAACATACATTTTCTCAGGACACAAATACCATCTAATTTTTCATTACACACAGGCTATGAGACAGTTTTCCTACATGGAAGGCCATCATTCATGGAGAGCTGGAGCCCAAAGATATACAGAGGTTTCTTGACTTTCCCCTGGACACAGACAGTTCCATGCACTTGGGAAAGTTCAGCACCATGCAGACATGGACACCAAATTTTTGGTAGTAGCATCCTATTTGCAGTTTGCCAAAGGTGTGGTAACCTGGCATGTGAGTTTGTAGGGGGTGACATACCATACTCTGGGGGTACACACACAGCTCTGAGCCACCCAGGGTACCCCCTGGCCCCTCCAGTGAGTCACAAGCACGAGCCATCACCAGAGTAACAACAGCCCTGCATTGCTTCCTGCCTGCATGATAGCAACTTGCTCACTATCAGCGATTGAGAGACAGGGACATCTCTTCGAGATCAGAAGCCAATTTTATTGAGTTTACCAGGCATTTATATAGAGTTTTACTTGTATGGCACTTACAAAGGGTTCTATTTTTGGTAACAATTTCCCATTGGTTATACATTCCTCATTACATCAGTTTCCTGGTAATCATTACGAAGTTTCACAACATATTTCTTGGTCACTTTTACCCCCGGGGGCAGTTACCCATGTCTGTCTCTTCCATGCTTTCTGTTTGATTAGGTTTAAGATACTAGGCTCCTTTATCAGTTCCATTGTGCTCTCTGTTTTATCCCCCACAGTTCACCCCTCTGTGTTTTAACTACTTAAGCTCAGTTTGAGACAACATCAACAGTGCTATTATTAGTTCATGACTTACAGTAGGCTTTTGAGGGAAAAAAAACCATTACTTACACCATATTTTTATTTTGTCACATAGATGTGGCTGCAAAGACTTCTGTACTCCTTGATTCCATCCATGGCCTTGTTACCACCTTGCACACATCATCATTGCACACCTTGCATCACTGCCCAGAGGCTGGGCTTCACAGTGAAGGAAGAGGATGAAGTTTTGCAGCTTCAGCTATCTAATATCCACCACACTGCCTGCACCAGACATACTGTAAATTCTCTTCTCTAGAAACTCTCTTCTCTAGAAGATTTTGCCAACTCTGACCTCAGGGATGATAGAGGAAAATAAAAAGAAAAATTTCGATATTATCCTTTGCTCTGTTTCTCCATCTTGTTTAATGGATATTCCCACAGGAGGAGCTGGTGGAACCACAGAAGCTTGTTCAAGAACTGTAATTTCTAAACTGGTGAGCACAGTACATCTCAGACAGCCACAATTGAAACTCTTCAACACCTAGGATAAAAATTTATATGAAAAGTACATCAGTATGAAGGTACATCTGTATCCACAGGCAAAAGTGATGAATATCTGATTTTTTTGTGTAAATACATATTCAGAATGAAAGGCATATGGCAATTTTAAGCTACTTAACATGCTCTTCCTGCACCTATGGGATTTCAGCATTTCTATATTTTTAAGAGTTTTGTAACACAGGAATAAGATCAGTGTACAATCCACTTTACTGAGATAGAAAAAAATGTAATTTAGAAGGTGTTATTGCAGGAAAGAGTTGGAAAGCTCATTGGTTATCATAACTCTTTGCTTAAAGACAACAGTTACTTTTCCTGATCTCTGAATGAAAAATTTTAGCATAGGTTCTCCAAGAAAAAACATCAGTCTATGACTTGAATGAATTCCCCTACAGAGGGATGCTTGTGCTACCAAGCCTTCAAACAGCACTTACATTGCCATCACTAATTACACTGGAAATTCCCTAAACCAAACACTTTGGGAGCACATCACTACACTCAGGAAAGGAAATCTGTGTTTATATAAGTGGGCTGGTTGGCTGGTGCAAATGAATAAGCTTTATGGTCACAGACAAAGCAAATGAAGCAATAAGTGCACAGCAGTGGTACAAAGCGGGCAGGGTACAGTGGATTATCTGCTGGCCAATTTAGTGTTCAGCCCAAGGGAGGTCCAGGTTTTCCATGGTCTAAAGGAGCCCACCACACCTGTCCATAGAAGAACTGTGCCACTGACCAGTGTTTGGGTCATCCATCATCCAATCAACAATACCTCATGGATTTATATGGAACCTTGATAACAATGAGAGGGAAGAACCAAGCCAATCAAACAGTGAGCAGCAACGCAGAGTGTATGAGTTCAGAAGAGATTCAATCACTACACAGCTATTTACCATGAGAGCCAGGCCTTTGCAGTGACCCCTCTGTGCTGAAATTATTCACATCAGTTATGCTTCCTCTCCTGTTTGCTGCCATCACCATCCAGAAGGGGTGGCAAATGATCAAGTGCTGCTTTGATCTCTGTGTATGCGAAGACAGAAATATCCAAGCTGAAGAACTAAGCCCCATGGGTCTGACAGCAGATTCAATTACAACCCATGGAATTCAGTTCTCAAAGCTGAGAATAAATGACATTCATTTCCAGGCTGTCCCAACACATGGCAGTATCTCATATTCCTGCTGGCTCTCTCCAGTGCCTGGCCTTCTTCCAGGGCTATAAAACAAGAGTGAAAACTTCACTGCAGCCAAATCAGCTGTACCCAAACTGTAGGTCAGAAGCAGAATAATGGCTCCAGGACACATATTTTGAAAAATGAGCTATTTTATATATTCCTTTGACACCAAAAGTGGCCACACACACAGGCACAATGTGCCCTAACATGTTGCAAAATTCCTAATAACAGAAAAAAAAAAAAGTACAGCCAAGGAATACAACAGCAAAATATTTTGCACTTTTCTGGAAGCCTTTGAGAATTTCAAAGAGGTGAGTTATAAATTTCCTTCTTTCTTTTCTTTGTTTTTTTTTAAAACACAACAACACAGATACAGAGGTAAAATCTTCCAGAGTCACTCAGCAATCTTGTTAACAAAATAATTCTCAGAATTATTCTCAGACCAGAATCTCAGAAGAAGGAAATCTGATACTGGTGCAGCCCTGCAGATTCATCATGGTTGTGTACTGACACAACATGTCACATCATGGTTGTGTACTGACACACAGCTGCATGGCTGTGTACTGACACAACTTTGTCAAATGGGACAACCTCACCCCAGGGTGACAATCTCACCCAAAGGCAGGCGTTCTGGACCACAGAAAAACACTGCTCAAACATACTGGAGATCAAAGATGACATCTCCAACAAGGAAACACCTCATCACTTCTGACAAACCTAAGAGAAGTCACAAGTTTCATTAAACTACATACCCCAAATGGGAAATTTTGGAGGCAAATGGACTGGATAAGATGTTGGATGACCTGTAAATTAGATGCTAGATGAATGTAGGACTAGATATATAAACAGGGTTGAGTAAGTTATGAAAAAAAAATCAGACTTATTCAGAACATTTTAAAGATACTTCTTATTCCAGTGAGATGATATCTCAGAAAAAAATCTCTTTAGTTTCAATGAAAAGAACATTTGGTCTGAAATAAAATATTTGGATGTCAAGGGGATTTCAGATTAAATCTTTTAGCTTTAAAAACTAACTTTAAAAAATTTACTTAACAGAATAGTTCAAACAGAATTATTTTGGTTTAGCATTGATGTTATTAGGTTATAAGTAAGTATTTTTTCAGTGAACAATCCTTACTAACACCCCATGGCACTTTTCTAGTACATCAGCCTCACATGCAGCCCCAGCAGTGTTGGCAGAAAAGGCAGCAGTGTGCCCATGTCTTTACAGCTCTAATTGTCTTCTCAGGCTGCTGAACCAGTCAAACAAACAACAGAAATTAAAAATACACTTCTTCAACTGTTTCTCTTCCTGGGAGGAAAACCTCTGAACAAACATATTTGCTAAGTAACTGCCATGTGGTACCTACAGCACAGCTCAGTCCTACGCATCTGTCACTTGACTCTGTGAGACAGGAAAGAAAAATCAAATTTGAAAAAGTAACAGCTTGCTAAGGGTCTCAAATAGGACAAAACTGCATCTGCAACTTCAAAATAAGGTACTGTAACAATAAATTTTGCTTGTCTGATATTTCTGATTTGTTACTGGAATAGTGCTTGCTAAGATCACTCCTGACTTAATTAAGCAAGACCTTCACTAGTAGTGTGGCCCTTCTGTGGCAATCCCCTCTTCCAATCCCAAGCAGGAAAAATATCTAATGATTATCAATAAAACATTATATCTTAAAGCAGAGAAAAGGTCAGGAAGAAAAAGGGGTGGAAGTGTCTGTCCCTTAGGACAGTCTCCCCATCCTAGGAAAAGTACATGACATTTCTATACAGGTGGAGCTGGCACTCCCTGGGCACCCCAGCTGGGAACAGACAGCTTTGGCACTCATCACTGCACAATCAGGTACATAATGACAAGGGAAAGTATGGAATGCCCCTCCATGAAACAGTAAAAAAGCTGCAGTAGCTCTAAGCTACCCAGGGCAGAAGAGCAGCTGAGCACTGGGGTGTTCCCCAACCCAGCTCTCCCAGGAACCTGAACTCCCCTGTCCCCCTGCCTGGGAGAGGTCTTGCAGAGCTCCCTCTTCCTCGGGAGATGGGCTTGGAGAGCAGACAGCCCCAAGGCAGGGAGGCAGGTGAACATGCTCTAAGATTGCTCCACTCCCTCTCAGAACTCTGGGATGGATCTGTCCCACAGGTATCCCTAAGGAGGATAGAACAACCCAGCCCTCAAGCAGCACACCTGATGTTTTAGTGACATCCCTAAGGAAAGGTACAAAAGGGCACATCCTCATAATTCTGCAGCCATTTTCCAGGTAAGTTTGCTTTACAGGTATTTTAACTAAGTAGGACAAAAGGTCACATTCCCTCATTCAATTTGCCTGTGGAGTTAAATATCACTGCAGTGCATTAGTTATCTCTCACCTTAAAAAACATGATGCCAGTTTCAGCCATGTTGTTCTTTGACCCTTTATGAACTTTATATGTGACATTGTCTATCCTTTTACTGTCCTTCTGGGAATAATTCCTTCCCTCTGGGAATGCATTTACTCAAGGATTGAATTCATGCATTTGCAAACAAGACAGCCCATAAACTTATATTGTTCTGCCTTTGCAAGAGCAGTGAGGAGGCGAGTCTTTTCAATGGACCATAAATCTAGTTCTTGGAAAAACATTATTTTGTTCTATTCCAGCAAGGTCCCTCAGTACCTCATAGCTTGGAGAGCCTATTACACCAGAATTAACAATTCCTACAGGACAGATGCTTAATAGACAATCATGTTATAAAGTTTTACTGCTGCACCAAAAGGAAAACCTTTATAGAGTGATTGAATAATGTTAACTGCCTGAAGACTATTCTTCCATAAATTTTCTTTTTAATTAAATGTTTTAACAGGAAGAGAACAAAGATAGTAAAGCCATCAAGTTACTACAATGTGTAAATTGTCTTAATTTCAGTTCAGTCAAAACTGCATTTTTCAGTAAGCAAAGTAATCAGAAAAATTAAAGAGTGCCTGTCTCTAATCATGCTAGTGAAGGGACGGGAGTTGCTTATTCTGCCAGCTCCAGTAACCCTTCCCTGCACCAACCCAAGAGGGAATTTGTTGGAAATTCCACCACAGAAGAGAGGTGATTCCTCCATCCCTTTTTCCCATGTTTCAGAGCAAAATTTGGATGCTTAGATAAGCTAGAAGCACATACAAGAAATAAAAATAAACCATTTCAAAAAAGTATTCATGTGAAAGAAAAACAGGGATAGTCAAACTCCTCTGATGCAATGAAGCATTGTAGTTTCTAAATCAGCAGCATTTGATGAAAACAAAAAAATACATACATCAATTAACTGACATCCCCTCCCTGCTTAAATAGTTGTTATTTAAGTGGGTTAAGATACAGACTTGAAAGAAAAAGATTAATATAGAAAAATCATAATTCAAGGAAAATATTAATGCACATAATGATACCACCACCTCTTACTTCTGAATTCCATTGGATTTGGAATAAAGTCACAACAGCATTAGAAGGACAAGAGAAAAAAATCCTGCATGCTGAAGAGAAGCACTAGAAAATATGCAGATTCCCTGACACAATATTTAAAAGTAATTCTAAATTTCTCATCACTTTAGCATAGTTATAACTCATAATTAATTCAAAGGCTTGATATTGATTGTGTTGCATTTACAGAACGTAAATTCATCAAAGCTGACAGAAACATCCTGGTTCAAAACTGGAGGAACTGAGGAAGAAGTTGGCATTTTGATTTAATCTTTAATATGCAGATTACCTTTCACATATACTGGAGCTCAGGCAGAAGACAAATATTTCATAAATCAGCTTGCATGTTTTTGGCTCTTACTCAGAGAGAATCCCCAAAAATTAATTTTATTTCATCTTTTTCCCACTCTTCAGCTTTTTGTCTTCCATTTTCCTTTCTCCTCTTCAATCATCATGGGTTTGCATTCCTTGTTTTCCATTTCACATCACTCCACTTTGTTCTCTACAATGGAAAGGCAGACAGACTAACAGACAGCAGGGACAGAGACACTGCCAGCCCAAGGTAACCTCCTCAGACTCCTACACTCTGGTGGATCTGATTCTCTCTCAAAAACATTGTAATTTTATGAAGGGAAGGGAATCAAAACTCATTTGCATATGGGTTCATTCCATCTCTTCAGCTCACATGTTTATAGCTCTGGAAAGTCCCTTTCTGATTCCCTGGCTGATAAAAAGCCAGGAAGGTAACACAGGAGATGTGAAAATTGTTTTGCTGACCTTGCAAGTGGAGCTATGCCAAAATCCTCCTTTCGCCTTGCTCGGAGGGCTCAGCTGGGAGATATGGGTCCTGTTTACCCTTTAGATTTCAAGGCTCAGACCATGCATGCAGAGTTAAAGACTCAAGTCACAGAAACCCCCATTTTGCACAGGAGGAAGCTCTGGTCAGGCACTTGATACTTCAGCTTCCCGTCTGTACACTACGCAGTCTCATCTGGGGAAATCCTGAAAACATTACCAGATGTCTGATAAGCTCTTTAGCTTTCAAGTACATAGTGATTCAGTTTCGGTCAAAACCTCATTTGAATACAGTTTTAAAGTCTAAATAAAAAGTGAGACCCTAAAGGAGAAGGCATTAGACTTGCAGCTGAACATCTGTGGCATCCAAAACAATGTGACTAATGTTTGATACTACCATAAACAAATCTACTTCTCCATATCTGCACTAAGATGGTCAGAGTGTGTGTTCAGCTTATTAAAAAGGAGTGGAATTAGATGTCTAATTAACACATTTATCTACAAACCCAGAAGAAACAGCAGCACAGATTGTTTATTCCATTTCATTGTTCACCATTGACATGAGGCAGATTGTTTCTGAGAGAAGGGTTTCTTAAAACTCTGGTGTCCACTTCTCCCATGGGCTTTTCTGGGAAAGCTGGCAAGTGACCAGACTTCTTTTGTTCTATGCATACTCCTATTTATCAGGCGTGGGACAGATTTTTCCATGCCCCATTCACAGACTCAGAACAGGCTGACACCATTTAATCCTGTGGATTTACCCCGGAAGAGTAAAACTCCACCAACCTCCAACATTTTTCAGTTCAGATGGGTACTTTGTGAGGATTCACCCACAGGAAATCACACTCTCT